GGGGGGGGGGGGGGGGGGGGGGGGGGCGTCAGGTTTTGCTATGTGCTGCAGCTAGTGTAGACCCTCTCACCTCCCGACTTTTGATTATACCAACCACCTCTCCTCGCCTTGTCCCTATTCACCCCTCAAAGCTTTCACCCCATTGCTAAACTCTCTTGGGATGCCAAAAACGGCCCTCCCCTTGTCTGAAGGTTCTGCACGGTTGGTGCCTCTTGGCTAGGATAAATTCCTACACGGTGCTACCCTTTGCTTTTCTCTGCACTCTTTATCCCATAGAGTCAGATGTAGGCGTGGGCATCTGCAACATGGCCACGGAATTGTTACTGCCACGGTTGGCGATGCCTCTTGGCTAGGATAAATTCCTACACGGTGCTACCCTTTGCTTTTCTCTGCACTCTTTATCCCTGAGTCAGAGTAGGCGTGGCATTTGAACATGGCACGGAATTGGTTACTCGTGGAATATTCCAGTCTGGGACAACTGTCATCTTGTTCTGTGTTGGACAGAGACACGACAACAATTGTGTCAAGATGAAAATATCTCACCAGAAGCATAGACACCTTCAGGTTAAGTTGAAGAATGCGGCCACGCCTACCCGATCTCAGGGATTTCAAGTATACCTACCATGCTACTAAGGCACTTGCGCAACAATGGTGCAGTGCAATTAGAGAAAAGGAAATACTGATGGTTGGAAAAGAAAACACTCCAAGCAAAGATCGTCCGTTTCGTCTCCTCCTCAAAAGAACCACTGCTATTTTGTCTCAACCTCAAGCCTCATAAGAGTTTACCCGGTGGATTCCTGCTCGTCCAAGAAGAAGTATTTCAGGGTTTATGTTGCTTGACCCTTGCAAATAAAATGATAGACCCCATAATGACGACCATAGCTCTGCTACCAAAACAATTCAGTTCCCTGTTCTGCAGGGAGCATATATCGAGAGCACTCACCTAATATTGTCCCTAGGAGAAGGGTCGCAGGAAGCAGCAGTTTTTGCCTTCAATTATAGGTGCTAAAAGGGCAGCTCCACTTCTCACCTAGCTGCGAAACACAGCTTTTCTCATGCGATTGATGCATACAATGTGTTCGCTGTGGATGCTGGGGTATGTGTGGGGGATGG